GCCCAAGCTAGCCTTGAACTCACAGCAATCCCCTTCCTGCCTCAGCCTCCTGAGTGCTAGGAATACAGGTGTGGGCCACCACACCTGGCTCTGCTCTTTTTTTCCTTTTTTTTTTTTTTCTTTTGGTACCAGGGATCAAACTTGGGTCCTTGTGCTTGCGAGACAGGCGGAAAAACCACTGAGCTAAATCCCCAGCCTGAATTTATTCTTTCTGATACTATTATAAACTGGTTTTCTTGGTTTCATTTTTGGATTGTTCAATGCAAGTATATGGAAATACAGTTGATTTTGTCATTTGAGAGGGGCCCACCTGTATAATCCAGGATGAGCTCTCCGTGCTCAACCAGTTCTGCAAAATATTTCTTGTTGGTGAGGTAATATATACTATAGACACTTTATGTGTACGTACAAATACATATATGAGGGCTGGGGATTTAGCTCATTGGTGCCACCGCCTGCTTCACAAGGGCAAGGTCCCGAGTTCCATCCCCAGTACCAAAAAACAAAACAACTTTAATACATGTATGAAACAGAGCCAATGCACACCAGCAGCACAAAATAAAACCGGTGGCATTTGCTGAAGAGGTCCTGTGCGCAGAAACGCTAAGTATTTCACACATTGCCTCGTTTTGTTATCTTTCTCAGCTCTATTGTTTCTCAAACGATACAGATGAGGAAACCGAGGCCTAGGATCCTCTGTAGGTCATCAGTGGATCATCACTGACTTCGGAGCCTTCCACCCCTCCCCAACAATCCTGCTCCCAAAGCTCGAGTGAGTCAGTGAACACTCGGGGCCAGCCAAACACGATGGTCCTGGCCTTGGGAGCCCAAACTGGCGAGGACACAAGCCAGCAGATGTGAGGGGGCCGGGAGGAAATGAGGATGTAAACCAGCTCACAGCACAGCACGGCGTCAGAGCTGAGGGTTTCAGGAAAAGGGTCCTGGGACAAGTAATATCTAAGCGCCTCTCCAGCTTTATGGGAGGTTCCAGGTAAAGGGGGAAGGAGTGAAGATCCAGGCAAAAGAAATCACAAAAGCCAAGGCTGGGACCACTCGTGTAAGTCTAGTGAACCGGACACCAAACTCCTGCACTCCGTGTATTTACAGAAGAAATAAAGCAACATGCCTCGGTCACCAGAGAGCAGATTGGACTTTTCCGGAACAGCAGTGAGGCGGCACCAGAGGGTCCTAGCAGGGACAGTTTCTATATGTGCCCCGTAATCCACTCTGCTTTCTGATGGCTCTTGCAGTGTTCTTGTGAAAATGGAAAATTGCTAAGCTGGGCATGGTGACACAGGCCTGTAATCCCAGCACTCAGGAGGCTGAGGCAGGAGGATAGCTGTGAGTTCGATACCAGCCTGGGCTACATAGTGAGTTCCAGGTCAGTCTCAACTACATAGTGAGACCTTGTCTCAAAAAAGAAACAAGCAAAAAGAAAATTGCTAACGTTAACGATGACACTGCATTAAGCGTGAACATTATCGTGGATTACACACCTGAAAATAACTTCTGAGACTGACTGATGTTTTCCCATCTCTCTGCAACACACAGACTGTATAGCACGTGTGGTCGGCAGGATTCATCTTTGCGTTTCTGCCTCCACAAGATGATTTACGTGTGTCCCCCAAAGCAGTAATGTTTTACCCAGAATTGGGTTTTTTTTTTTTTGCCAGTTCTATATGTTACAGGGAATGAATAAAATATGAGTCTCAGAGAAGAATAATTGTTTCTATGAAAACAAATTAAATTAAACATAGAGTAGAGCAGCCATCCATCACAGGCAAGAGGACAGAAATCCTAGCAGCACCCTTTCCTTTTCAATTGCAGTTCAGGCTTTCTTCGCTCCATTCTCCCTTCTCTGCAGGAGCACAAGTAGTTGGGAGGAGGACGCAAGAGAATCCCAGTGAGACTCAGGGGCTCCTCGGTTCCTCGGGCCCCTCTGACGGGCCTCCGAGGACTGACTGTCAAGCTCGTGGGCAGCGCTGGCTCTGGGGAAATACCGCACCGCGGAAGTGTTAGCTGTGATTACCTTTAAGGACCTGGAACCCAGTCTCCTTCTCAATTTAAAACTGCCCGTCCTCCGGTGGATTCCCTGGTCACACCTTTCCAGGTACATCGTGCTAGTACAGTGCACACATCTGGGCTTTACACTCACTTTGTAGGTGACCTGCTTCTCCAATCGCCGATTCCTCGTACGCTGCCTTCCCCAGCACGCCACACCCCAGATAGTCAATTTCTTTCCATTCTGCGCAACCTCTGAATGTTTTAATGCTTTTCCAGTGGTAACCACCCCATTGGATAGTCTGTTTATTCCTCCTCCCTAAGAGGTGGTGCACACTCACAATAAGGGGCTGTATTTTGCTTATTCCAACTGCCTGAGTAGAGGCTGGCACATAGACAGTGCCCAGTTAGCGTCCGGGAAGTTATCTGTGCACAAATTAAACGTGCAGGCAGAGTACAACTGTACTTGTGCCTATTTTATGATGTAACAAGGAATACCCACTCGGGTAGAAAAAGGAAATTTGCTCAAAATCTGGAAAGCCTCCATCCAAGTTCTGGTGAAACAATGACGGTCGTGTTGCAATGCAACCTCTTTGGTTGGGTCTCTGGCTTTTGGACTCATTTATGAGTTGTGTGCAGTGGCCCACGCCTGTGATCCCAACACTTTGGGAGGCTGAGGCAGGAGGATCGCAAGTCTGAGCACCGCCTTGACAATTTAGCAAGACCTTGTAAAAAAATGAATGAATGAATGAATGAGTTAATTATAAAAGGGAGGCGATACAGCTCCATGTGAAGACCCAGGGGAAAACGTGTATGAAGGTAACTAACGTGCGACTTTGTTCTACTTTGGGGTCAGAATTTATTGCTGATTTCCCCGCTGCGTCACGTCCCAGCCCCAGCGGGGCTCCCGGCCCTTTCAGTCTGGGCCTCCGCCCTGCGCCGCGACCCCCGCCCGCCCG